TGACTTTCTAAAATTTTGTACTCTGAAAAAGTTTGACATAGGTTGGCTTAAAAAGGAAAATTTGTTCATTACTTATAATAAAAGAGAATGAAAAACTAGTTCTTTAATAAGAAAGGAGAATTTCAAAAGATTGGACACAATCCATCTGTAAGTAGCATATTTCTCACTAGAGGGAGCTCTGAACCCACAAATCATGGCAAGAAAGGTTGACTAAAATGATATTTTACTTCAGGGGAAACAAATGGTCAGTGAGTAAATATGACATCTATTTCCAGAAGCTGGGAATTTTTCACATGCCAATTTCCTTCAATTATTAACCACTGCAATTTTAAATTACATAAAGGGTGAATAATGCAAAGCGTTGTAATACCCAATCGGTTTAATAAACATACTATAAATAGGTATGGTGTGGGTCTAATAAGAGATGTGGCATTATCCTTGTTCTTTCGGTGGAAAAATTAATTAGTATTAGTGAGAAAGAGCAAATAATAGGGGCTAGTGATGAGTATGGGTACCCAGAAAGGCTGTTTGGGGAACTATAATTCTTGCACTCTGGCTACTCTTCTTCTGTCTCTATGTATATAACTCTGTGAGGCATTTCCTCCCTTTATAGTTGGGTACACTTGGGGAAAAGGGGTCTCTCATAGCCACTCCTAAGCCAGTGTGCTCAGCAGCTCACTTCTCCTCCGTCGCCCACTGCATCAACTCTGGCACTATCAGCTCAGAAACTGAAGAGTCATCACTCTTCCTCATTACAAAGGTGCTGACACCACCCTGACCTCAGCTGATGAGTCTTTCATTCTCAACAGCAGTGTTGACTCTGTGAAGCAAAGTTTTTCTAAAGGCTTGGGAAAAAATGGCACCATATCTTAAAAGTCCCTTTTCCCTCTAACCCCTGCAATCAGGAACTTATCACTGACCACCACTACTCCTCAGGTTCCAGAACCACTATCACCCCCAGGTTGTAAGACCTTACTTTACCTTTTGAAATTTTTCACATTTCTATTTATCTTAGACTAGGGTTCCGATATGTCTATGCAGATATGTCTCAAATATTATATGGGATATACTTATAGTAAAAATTTATTCCTTGTTTATCTGAAATTCGAATTTTACTAGGCATTCTATATTTTTTCCAAATCTAACAATTTCACCCTAGAGCTTTTACTCTGCTTTCTCTAAGGTCAGAGGAGGAAACCCAGAGTTCCTTCCTCCTTATTAAACAAGTTCTGTTTCATCCTCTCCCACCGAGGCCATACTCAGAGAAAACCACTTATCTCATTTCTTTCCCTTGGAACATTTGGTTTATGTTTTAAATAGCAGAGTTTTTCTTTCTGTCTCAGTTGTACATCTCCTGTCTGTTAACACATTTTCATCTAACAAGTTAAACAGGATAATTTGTTTTCAGGTTTCAGAATCACCTCATCTACACATTTAATTCATTGAATGCATGTTTATTCAGTGTATGCTCTGCATTAGAAACTATACTAAGTGCAGACATATCAAGGTGCCCTGTCTGTGGAGGCAGTGTAGTTTACAATGAGGAAGTGAGAAGTAGCCTTCATCAGCTGATAGCTCTGAACCTGGCTGAAAACAATGAAGTCACATTTCAGTTGGACATGGTTTATGAGTTGGTGACATTTACAGGGAAAAGACAGCCTTCTGGAATACTATCACACTTATCCTTAAATAAACTCCCCTCTTGACCAAAGCATATGGCAATTTATCCCTTAAAATAATCTTTTCTATTAACCTCTTGGAAAGTCTTCTTGCACTTGAAGTAAGGAATGAAACATGTGGAGCATGGGGCTAACCCCAGCAAGAGGAATGAAATGAAATGAATGTTTATTTGCCCCATGGATATGGTCAGAGGCACGATTTTAAGAACGGATTGTACCAAGGGAACCAACAACTCAGATTCCATGTTGAAGGCTTCCTCTCTCTCTCCCCACAGTGCTTAATGGACATAGTTCAAGTTTGCTTCAGCTGTCCTTATCTCTGCGTGTCTTTCTAAATAATACCCCCCTTTTTAGATATATATTTTTTTCCCTCGTGGCCCAAGCATTTAATTGAATTCTACCAAAGCCTAGAAGCAATCATTTGATTTTTCCTTATTGGTGTACCTATTACTTATGCGTAAATTTCACTGTTTTCCAGCAATACACATATGCACTCCTTTTGTTTTAATTCTTGATTGGAGAGAGAACTTTACTCTCTCCAGAAAGAAGAAACAGTGGATCTGGTTCCGGTCCAAGACTCAGGCAATAGCTATTCTCAGATTAGGTTTGCAGCACAAAGAGAGCCTATGAGGGATGTTCTCCGTAGCACTCAGTACGCAAAGTCTGCGAGAAATCTCTCGGCGACCCTCTACACAATCTGTCCACACAAAGAACACTTGGCATGCTCCAGCGCAGTGAACCGGGTTGGGTCAATCAGATGCGAGGAGGCAAAGCACGCATGCGCACGGCGAAGCGTATGTCGACCAAGGACCGAACGGGCACGCGCACGTGGAGGCCGGGCGCGGGGCGGGAGCGCGCGCCGGAGCGGAAGGCGTTGATCTCGGCTGCCGAACGCTGGGAAAGAACGAGCGCGAGGCATCGGGTCCTTGCCATGGCTCACAGGCCGAAAAGGACTTTCC